GTAGTGAGTTTCTAGAAATTTGTCCATTTCCTCTAGATTTTCATATTTGTTAGAGTACAATTTTTCATAGTATTCTGTTACGATTCTTTTAATTTCAGTTGGATCTGTTGTGGTATCACCCATCTCATTTCTTATATGGGTTATTTGCTTCCTCTCCTGTTTTTCTTTTGTCGGTTTGGCCAGTGGTTTATCGGTTTTGTTGATCTTTTCAAAGAGCCAGCTTTTTTGGTCTTGTTAACTCTTTCAATTGTTTTTCTATTCTCCATTTCATTTAATTCTGCTCTAATTCTTTTTATTTCCTTTCTTCTGGCGCTTGGGGGCTTCTTCTGCTGCTCTTTTTCTACTTGTTCTAGTTGTAGGGTTAATGTTTCAATTATGGCCCTTTCTTCTTTTTGGATGTGTGCGTTTATTGCTATAAACTGACCTCTGATCACTGCTTTTGCTGTGTCCCAAATGTTCTGGTAGGATGTGTTTTCATTCTCATTTGATTCTATGAATTTCTTCATTCCATCCTTAATTTCTTCTATAATCCAGTAGTTTTTGAGCACAGTGTTGTTCAGTTTCCATGTGTTTGATTTTTTTTCCTTGCTTTTTCTGTTGTTGATTTCTACGTTTATGGTTTTATGGTCAGAAAAGATGCTTTGTAATATTTCGATGCTTTGGATTTTATTAAGGCTTGCTTTATGGCCTAATATGTGGTTTATTCTGGAGAATGTTCCATGTGCGTTGGAAAAGAAAGTATACTTGGCTGCTGTTGGGTGGTGTTCGGTATATGTCTATGAGATCAATTGGTTGATCATGGCATTTAGCTCTTCCGTGTTGGGCAGCTCATTCTTATGGCTCAGGTGATGGTGACTGGATGGTGAGGGTTGTGGAGGGGGCCTGTGAAGAAGAAGGGGAGGGGTTCCTGCAGCGGGCGGGGGTGTGTGAGTATGTGTGTGTGTGTGAGCTCAAAACAATGCCCAGCACGCTAGTGGCTACTATTAGAGGAGAATTGGAACCTGAGGTTTTGATTCTTGGCCTGGCGCTCGGAGAGCGCTCCATGAAGTGACAGTGAGATTGGGCCCACTGTGAGACGGTGTCTTCCGCAAGGTGGTACCCACCTCCTGCATTACACACAGGAGTCAAGAAGCCAAGTTGGGGGCCTGAGAAGGTGTGCCTAAAAGATTAGAAACTTGGTCTTTAGAACCAAGCTGCTCCTTAAAGCTTCATATTTTCTGTGGCTGTTTCCCAATGCCATTACTGGTTGCCTCCCCTAAGATGCCCCCAGTGACCTGAGAGACATAGTCAAGGCCTAGACACACTTTATTGGGGATGGGCTTCTGCCACAGGTGAGGCATCTGAGAATGAGGGGACGTTCCATCAGCATCTCCCTTGTTCCTGTGGCTTTGCTGATAGACAGGCCACACTTTAATTCTTGATTTTCTTGGTCATAGTTTTGGTCGTGCTGCGGACCCCAGTGAGGGAGGCCTTGGGGGCTACAGCTGCCCTGGCCCCCTCCTGTGCTTGGGCAGTGCCTTGCTGGCCCAGGGAGACCAGAGGGCAAGGCATCTTGGTGGCAGAGTATGTCTGTGGTGAAGAGGCAGGCTCAGTGGGTGTCTTCTCTTGCTCAGGAGGGACAGGTAGGTTGCTGTCCCTGGCCATGGGCTCCTCAGGCAGCAGGGGGAGGTCCGTCAGCGCGAGCTGAGTCTCCATCCTCAGGAGGTGCTCTGTCAGGGCTGCCTGCTGCCTGTGCTCCTTGTGCCTGGTCATCTCCTGCTCCAGGTCCTTGAGGAAGCCTGGGTGGGGCCCAGGGTGGTGGATGGGCCCTAGGCTCAGGTTCCTGGCTGACCCCCTGGCAAACCTCCCCTGCCATCCCTAGTGGGAAGCACCCAGGTCACCTGCATGCCCAGGATGGATTCCTGCCCCAGCTGCAGTGTCCACCACCTCTGGCCAGATGCAGGTTTACATTTGGGGCCACTATCTTAGCTTCCTGCCACACCCCTCTGCCCCCACACCCACCAGCCCACAGGACAGGGGTGAGCTCTGGGGAAGCTGCAAGGGCAGAGGGTCACCTTGCTCTGAACAGAATGGGCCGCTCAGCTCCGGGAACTCCTCATCCTCATCACCTGAGGCATTCTCCTCCTCATCAGAGGCCCAGCGCTCTGGCACAGGCTGCCCATCCAGGTCCAAGAGCAGTGGCAGGGCTCCTATCACCAGCTCCCTGCAGGGTAGAAAGAAAAGCAGCTACCCAGGAGGGCCCCCTTGGGTGTGGAGCCTGGGGGGATGTAAAGACACAGTCACAGCTTCTCAGCCCCTGGAGTGGTGACTCACAAGCTAGGTGATGGGGCCTGTGGCCAGCTCCAAAGGGCTAAGGGCTGGGTCAGTGTGGAGTTATGGGAATGGGAAGGAAAGGGGCAGACTCGAGCTGAGGTCGGGGAGAAGAAGGTGCCATGGAGAGGGAGAGGGAACCCACTTGGAGTCAATAGGTGGAGCTCAGCATCACTCCCTTCTCCCTACCCTCAATTCCTTCTCACCTATAGCCATTCTGCTTGGTGCAGCTGTTTCCAGTCAGGTTGAGGATGAGAAGGCTCTGGGGGAACTCATCTGCTCACACCAAAGAGAGGGGCAATGAGGTGCTCAGACCCATCTTCCAACCCAAAACTCCTCTTTGCACAGCCCCTGGGAGCCCCTGGAGAATGAAGTGCGTAGGTGTGGGGGGTGCAGGTAATACATGCCCAGGAATGTGGGGGCAGAGAGGAGGGAGGACCCCATGTGGGACTTATTCTCTGAGCCAAGGCAAAGGTGTTCCTACCCAGCTTCAGCGTTTCTATCAGGTTCTCAGAAAGGTCCAGAAACTGGAGGTGTGGGAGGTTGAGGAGGTTTTCCACCTGCTTGATGTGGTTTCCTGCCAGAGACAGGAAGCTGTAGGGGAAGGGAGGGGACAGAGACAGAGCTGAATCACAGAGCAGCTGGAAGAAGGGAGGAAGGCACTAGGTGCCTGGGTCCCCAGGCTAGGCCGCTGGATGATGAGTGGGGACACATGGCCTTCTGGGGTGAAGGAGGCAGAGCTAGGCTTGCTGGGCCAGGTTTGGTGAGGTCTGAGCCAGTTCCTCGAGGGTGTTGCCAGTCTCCCCCACCCCTACCCTACATACCGCAAGGAGGGGATGCAGGCCAGGTTTTCAATTTTCTGGATCTTATTCTGTAGGAAGAAATCCAGGTGTGTAAACCAAGCTGAGGTCAGCTGGGGGGGGGGGGCTTTAAGGGGACAAAGCCCCCAGGCCATGTCTATCTACTTTTGCAGCTGGAGATCTAGCACTCTGGGAATGATCACCCCACTCCCTGAAATGGTTGTCACTACCTTGAGGTGATTTACTTTCTCCAGGTGGCTGGTTAAGGGTGTAAACTTAGGGTTGGCTAAGCTTAACTAAACTATAGTTGAAATCAACTTGATGACAATGGGTTTGGTTTAACAGGTTATGACCCCACAACCAAAGAGTGACTTAGGAATCAGAGAAGGAAACCAAGTGACCACAGGGAAATGGAAAAGGCCTTGGTGCCCTGCATACAGGAAGGAACAATGAACATATATTAATTTGATTTAAGGGAGCTGGGTATACTCAGCCTGGAGAAGGCTGAAGACCAGCCAGCCACCCAACAGCGACAAATAAACTTTAAGGTTCTGTAAAATATAGAAGAATCTACTTAGTTCCTTCTTCCTCTTCTTCAAAATAGGAAATGGGCTTGAGCTATATAACATGACAGATTTCCGGTTGTTGTTGTTAGGTGCTGTCAAGTCGGTTCCAACTCTATAGAACTGAGTAGAACTGCCCCATAGGTTTTCCAAGGAGCAGCTGGTGGATTTGAACTGCCGACCTCTTGGTTAGCAGCCGAGCTCTTAACCACCACACGACCAGGGCTCCAGATGTAGGGTAGACACCAAGACAAAATGCAAACCAAGTGTATGATACAGTAACAGTGATTCAAGAACCTGTTCAGGATCTCTTTTTGGGCAGTGGGGAACATCAGCCTTTCAACTGAGGAGAATTCCTGATTCAGTTGGGGACTGTTTAAATGAAGGTCGGTCGGCCTGAATGCCAGGGAATGGACAAGATGGCCTGGTTAGCTCCTTTCAGATTAGATAGACTAAGTTCACGGTGTCAGGGAGTAACAGGAGGTAAGGGAGGGCAGGGAGGCAAGAAGTTACCGATTGCAGATAGAGGCTGTGAATATTCTGGAGGCTCTCTAAATTCCTGATAACAGTAATCCCCTCCCGGTCCAGGCGGACAGTCTGCAGTTCAGCAAGAGTGTGAAACCTGGGAGAAAAGTTGGCAAAGCGGTGTAATTGAATGCCATTTCTGTGGTCTCTTATCAGAGAAGATGGGAGGGGTGAAGAGGGAAGGTGTTTCAAGGAGGGTTAGATGGTTGAGTGATTTTTTTAAAACTGTCTTAAATATATAGTTAACAAAAACATTTGCCATTTCAACAATCTTCACATGTACAGTTCAGTATTATATATGTTCATCATGTTGTTCAACCATCACCATTAACCGTTCCCCAAATTTGCCATCACTCTTAACAGAACCTCAGTGTCCCCTAAGTGGTTGAGTGATTTTGATCAGCTAGATATTACCATTGATTGGAAGTGTGGAGTAAGTAAAGAGGGAGACAAAGCTGAGTTGACATATCAGAACGGCTAGGGCCGGTCATCCCTTGTGTTTCAATCTTCCAGCCCCCCTTCCCTCCCCCGCGCACTCACATCTTCTCTGACAGATCATCGTCCTCAAGAAATGTCAAGTTCCGCTTAGTGATAAGGGCTTCAGTGATGCAGATGCCCCCTTCCTCTGGACTCGGGGCAAGTTCAGCTGTGAAGAGATGAGACTAATTGTCATATTTCTTCATACCTGGAGGCCAGACCCACCATCCCACTCCCCTACTCACTTCCAGGCATGATCTAAAAGGCTGCTGGCCTGGGGCGGGCGAAGAAGGAAAAGGGGCGGAGCAGCTTGGACGGCCTGTGGTGTGGCTGAACCCAGAGTGTTATGAGAAGCTCAGAAACTTGGGGAACAAGGGAAAGGGGTTGATTTAGAGCAAATTGTGGGGGTGGGGTCGAAACAAAAGTAAACTGAGGTGCAAGGTCTGAGGCTTGAAGGGTGTAGAGGGGCTTCGTTGGTAGCAACTGGAGGACTGTGATCAGCGAGCGGTGTGAGCCGAAGGCAAGGAAAAGGCAGTTCCTAGAGTTCGGGTGTTGTTGCTAGGAGACCGGACGCCAGGTGGGAGAGGGAGGGCAGGCTGGCTGTTGGCGGACTCAGCGCATGCGGATTATTGCTTCGGCCGGTGGATCCGCCCACTGCTTCCGGCCCCGGGGTTCGCTGCCCCACAATCCTTAGCTCCTTCCGTCTCTTCTCGGTTCCTGTCTGTTCCTGTGGTGGCGATGGCTGTGGCCGGGGCTGGGATGCTGCGAGGGGGTCTCCTGCCCCAGGCGGGTAAGGAGCAGCCCAAGTCCTCACGGTGCGATTCGGCCGGCGCTCTCTAGTCCTTGTCCCCCATCTACTACTGATTCGTTCCCATAATCTCTGACCCAGACAGCTCCCGTGACCCCTGACCCCGGCTAGATCTCTGGCCTCCTTACCTCTTAAAATTCCCTGTGACTCCTCTAACAACAATAATAACAACAATATTTGTTCCTTACACCCGAGACCCTCTCCTTTCTTTGAGTTTCTCTAACCCATCCAGCCCTTGCCCGCCCCCAGAGTTTCCCCACCTTAGCAATATACAGTGAAATCTAGGATAGCTGGAACTCGACGGGACTGCCTTGTTTTTCCGGTCTCGCAAGTTTTCCGCCTTTAACAGGGTGCAGTCTTACCACTTTTCTATCGCTTGTTTTAGTGGAAAGTAATTGTTTCCCTTCTCTGATAGGTTTCCGCCTTACACAAGTTCTGGCTTTCGCAGGTTTTACTGTACCTGCTTTTCATTCTTAAGGTCTCAGCCTAAATGCCACCTCCTCAAGCACTCCATCACCAACCTCTGTAAAGCAGATTTCCCCTGTTAATCTCTGTCTTGCACCATGGTTATCAGCCTAGCCCCTATCACAGTCTGTAATTTTGCATTTGTTTATTGGCTGGTTTTCTCTTTTAGGCTGTAAGCTCCAAAACTGCAGAACCATGTTCATTCAGCATAGCCAGCAGGTGGATGGTGTCTGACATGAGTAGGCGTGCAATAGATATTTGCTTAATGAATGAATTTAAGCTCTTAACATAGACCAGGCACTAATAAATGCTTTACATGTATTCTCTCATTTAAATCTCAAAGCATCCTAAGAGGAAGGCATTATTATACCCTCTTTATGGATGAGGAAACCAAGGTTCAAGACAATTGAGTGACTGGTCAAGGTTACAGCTAGGAAGTGGCAGAAGAGAGATTGAAATCTGGTTTCATCTGAATCCAAAGTCTGTGCTCTTAAAAGTTAATATTTTTTGGCCGTTGGCAATAAAGGCGTTTATGCCAGCAAATCTCCATGGTCTCTAACTGTTAGAGCCACCTTCTAGCAGAACCTTTTCCTGAGGTCCCATCCTAACCTTGGGAAGGACTGAAAGTGGGAAACTCCAGCCTTGGCTCTTGTGTCAAGGATGAAGGCATCACTTTGTTCAGGTCTTCCAGGTGGCTCCTCTGTCTTCTGATGCCTCTGAACAAGAAGAGGAGGAGGGAAGGGAGACTTGTTTGGGGAGCTGTAAGGGTGATGTAACATTTTTTTCTTATTTCAAATCATGGAAGAAGGCTCTAGAGCAATGTTTAGAGCAGTGGTTTTCAAACTTTAGCGTGCATCATCATCACCTGGAGGGCTTGTTAAAACTTTGTCTCCTGGGTCCCATCCCTAGAGTTTCTGCTTCAGTAGGTGTGTTCCCAGGTCATGCTGATGTTGCTGGCTCAGGGACCACACTTTGAGAACCACTGGCTTAGAACAAGGGTTGGCAAACTAGCAGCGCTGGCCACCTGTTTTTACAGATAAAGTTTTATTGGAACATAGCCACACCTGTTTGTTTACGTATTGTCTGTGGCTGCTTTCACAATACAGTGGCAGAGTTCAGTAGTAGTGACAGAGACTGTATGGCCCCCAAGCTTAAAATATATACTGTCTGGCCATTTAGGAAACAGTTTGTCCACCTCCCCCCCACCTTTTTTTTAATATGTGTTCAAAATAATTTCTCCTTTTTCTCCCATCTCTGCACATAAAGACCTGGAGAAATGGGAGCCTCCCACGACCAAGCAATAGACCTAGAATCGCCTATTAAAAGAGAAGAGGAGGTTTGGGAAGTCAGGATTCCTGCCAGGCAGTTCCTTGTCCCATGCTTGTGCTCTGTGAGCCGTGATTGTCTCTGCCTAGAGAGTGCTCTTTCTCCATCTATGGCAGACTAGGGCCTCCAAGAGGCTGCATCTCACCTGCGTTGCCGTCTCCCCTCCCAGGCCGGCTGCCTACCATCCAGACTGTCCGCTATGGCTCCAAGGCTGTTACCCGCCACCGTCGTGTGATGCACTTTGAGCGGCAGAAGCTGATGGCTCTGACTGAGTATATACCTCCCAAACTTGCCATCAACCCAAGATGTCTGCCACCTCCTCCCAGCCCTCCCCAGGAGGTAAGGGGAAGAATGAGTGTACATCACCTGGCAATGGGATGGTGGATTAAAGTGATCTAGTGAAGTAGGGCTCTAGGCCAGAGTCACTCACATAGTCACTCGCTCCACTTTCCCATTGTGACCCAATTGTCCAGGTACTTTAAAATCAAATCTGTACTTGATTTCGTATTGGCCTTTGGGCTCTGTGGATCAAAAAGACCTGCTGAATTTGCTTAGTTCTTTACTTGTCTCCAAACGGTATATGTGAAAGCTTCCCAAGCAGATGGAGGTAGGGCAGAGTATCTCTCTTGTCCTAAAAGGCGTTGAAGTTTTTACATTTTTCTGGAAGAAAGATAGAGCTTTTCTGTCCTTAAAAAACAGAAAGACCAGTGGAAGATTTGTAACTTTGATGATGGTTCCTGTTATCGTAAGTACCTAATAAATTCTAGTTTTCTAGTTGTCTAATTGTCTCAAGGGCTAGTTAGCTGTCGTCTCTGATAGAGGCTGGAACATGGGAACTGAGCAGCAACTGCAGCCTCAGGGATTTAGGTCAAATGTCAAACACCAATGGAAGTGACGATATGAGTAATTCAGCAGAGATTTCTCCAAGACTAATGGAAGGACAAAACCTCCACATCTGGGTTTCATCCTGAAAGCAAGGAACTGTCTTAAGTGAGCCCTGAAGGGTCAGCCTGTAGAGCATTGCTTAGCAAACTACATTTCAGTGGCTGGGACTCTTTCAGCAGGACTTAGCTTTTACCCACCTAAAATTGATTAACAGTATCGCTCTCTCCCCCCAACTCAGACAAAAGTAAAGTCGTTGGATAGAATTTCCCGTTAAGTTTTTCTCACATAATTTTTTCTCAAGCCAGTGCTGCATGTTGTTGTTGTTCGTAGGTGCTGTCGAGTGGGTTCCAACTCATAGTGACCCTGCGTGCAGCAGAACAAAACTGACCGACCCTGCACCATCCTCACAATCATTACGCTGGAACCCATTGTTGCAGCCACTGTGTCAGTCCATCCCATCAAGGGTCTTCCTCTTTTTCGCTGACCCTCTACTTTACCAAGCATGATACTCTTCTCCAGGGACTGGTCCTTCCTGATAACATGTCCAAAGCACGTGAGACGGAGTCTTGCCATCCTCACTTTTAAGGAGCATTCTGGCCGTTCTTCTTCCAAGACAGACCTGTTAGTTCTTCTGGCCGTCCATGGTGTGTTCAGTATTTGCCAACACCATAATTCAAAGACGTCAGTCCTTCAGTCTCCTTTATTCATTGTCCCGCTTTCAGATGCCTGTGAGGTGATTGAAAATACTATGGTTTGGGTCAGGCGTACCTTAGTACTCAAAGTGACTGCTTTGCTCTGTAGTGTATTCTTGAGTCCAATGGTGCTGTGTTCTAACTATACAATAATCTAAACTTGTACCGTGCAGTAGAACATTCTGGGTTTGTATATCTGCACTGCCCAGTGTGGTAGCTACTAGCCGTATGTGGCTATTGAGCACTTGAAATGAGGCTAGTGTGACTGAGGAACTGAATTTCTAATTGTAATTTTAACTAAATGCGAGTAGCCACATGTGACTAGAGCTACTGTATTGGATAGGGGCAATTCTAGAGCCTAGATTTGACACAACAGTGAGTCTTCCATTATTTTAGTTTGTATGTATTAATGTTTTCATGACATTCTGCAGAGATCACCGTGACTTCCAAGTACTCCACATTTAAATAAATTTTAGGATCATTACTTTGGAAAAAAATCTCTTAAACAGTGTTTGTTGAGGTCTGTGAATATATTCTTGAGTCCACAACTTCTCACCTTTGAGAAACACTGTCTTTAAAAAAAAAAGAAACCTTATTTTGTGAAAATGTCTCAGTTTTGAATTAACACTGTGGCAGAGTTGTATTTATAATTGGTAAAATAATTTAACATGAGTACAGTGTCGGAGGGAGAATTGAAGTAATGTTGACAACACCATCATCAAATAATGTTGGTTAAGGCAGACTGCTGACTTGTCTTGGGGGCTCAGTGTTCTGGGATTTGGAAAACACTGCTGTAAAGAGTGTGGTTATCTAGTGAAAGTGGAAAGGCTGACGTGGGAGGTGAGACATGTCTCTGAGAGTCAGGAGCCCAACTGTCCTACCTGTTCATCTTTCACACATTTGGGCATCACTGAATACCTTGGCACCTAACCCTGAGGGAGTGAGGGGTACAAGGAGGAGAGGCAACTTATACCCTGTGGCCACCCTTCCTGACTTTAGGAGACAGGCCTCATCCGGCTCCTCCGACGGGAGATAGCAGCCATTTTCCGAGACAACCGAATGATAGCTGTCTGCCAGAATGTGGCTCTGAGCGCAGAGGACAAGCTCCTTATACGGCACCAACTGCGGAAACACAAGATCTTGGTGAAGGTCTTCCCCAACCAGGTAGGCAGCGGGCCCTCTGGCATGGGTTGGCTGTGTTCTCCTCAGACCCCAGCGCTGCTCCCCAGATGTGGCATTTCCTACTCTTCCTCTCTACAAGCAGCCCTCTAGTCTGTGGTGCCTACACTGCAGATAGAGGGTGAAGAGACCCTTGGGTTGCTCTCTCAGCCTGAGGCCAGCTGTGACCAAGGCGGTCAGCTCTTCCTCCCACTCTTCCCCAGTAAGCCATTCTTTCCTTC